AGGGCACCAACCAAAAACTACTGCGTAGAATTAATTGGAATTTTTCACACACAAGCCTTGCTATATGAGCTCTCAAAGCATATAAAAATTATACGGCTTAAATGTGAAGTTGGGTGCAAAAGAATACAATTAAATCCTCTGTCGGGAAAACGAAATGACTTTCCGAACAACCCTATAGCTTTCTACTATTTGATGATAAAATTAGACAAGAAGTAAATATGGATTTATTGCCGCAATTGCCATTTTCATCTCAAGAAAAATCTGTTTCTCGGAATGACATCCCCGAATCGAACAAGCTTCCTGCTTGGGCGGCAATTCACAGTCAATGGTGAATGCCTATACTTTCCAATCGAGAGAGGTCGACCTACCGTCAAACTAGCAAAGATTACTATCAATAGCTTTTTGGCCATCTTGTATACAGGCACGCGAGAAAAATTATCCTCTTTCTAGTTCTATTTCCTTATTTTTCTTTGCCGCAGTGTGATCAAAAAACGGTCAAGTTGAAATCCCTCACTTTATCATCGATTTGTGGATATGTACGTAAACGAAACAGATCTTCATTTATTGACACTTTTATAAAAAGTATCAATCGGTTTTCAGTTTTAAGAAAATAATAAAATTTAGAGTGCTATTTAACATTGTTTCAACGCCGACATATATAGACGTAAGAATTTTTCTAGGAGATTGTTTCTGATAAAAGCGGTAGAAAAAGCAATTTTCAAGGTTTTCTCAATTTTCTTATCTATGCATTATGTATAATATAAATCAGTTTTACAATCTATCATGTCTCCACACGCCGATACTGAAAGGAAAATTCCTGATAATTCAATTGCCTTCCAGAAATTCACGTTTTAGATCAGTACATTTTCATCTTTCTTACTCAAAATTGTGACACTCTCAATTTAATATAAAACCCATATAATATTTATAACTTTTTTATACTGCTATTACAATTTGGCTTAGGTATTACAAAGAAATTGATGAGTTTCCAACTTAAACAAAATCATTGCAAAATATTAAGATATAAATCTGGGATAATTCGTCATTCAGCCTGCTCTGTCCTTGTTACAGTCTAGCTACGGCTCTGTCAGGATAATATGCGTCTCTTCAGGCATAATTCCATTAAGACGTTAATAATGCAAATGTGCACAACACATCCTTGAAGACGAAGAACTTTAAGAAAAAGAAAATTCCGAAGATATGAATATTTAGTAGTCGGTTTAGATTGTGGCGTCTGTTATGCTGTCGCCCACATAGTACCTCTACCTATCGTCTCTTCGGTTTTCCTCCTTGCTTACCGTTGTTTGTTTTCATCTACAGAATAATTACTGTGAACACATTGGAAACAACAAACTGAATGTATAATGCATAAAGTAATCTGCTTGTTGCCCGTGCGCGGGACAAGCTCATTCGTTACGAAATTAAAACTCTCGAGCTTTGGAAATTTTTCCACGAACGTAGGCCGACCAACAACAAACAACGCAAAAACATGGTCGATGTTCACGAAATTAAGTAGTAATTGGAACGTCCGAATTACGGCAATGCACTTCGCACAGTCTAGATTAATAAAAACTAGTTCAATCGATTCGACCAATACGAAAACCGTGGGCCGTCATGTATACAGGTAAGGCTAAACATTCACTGAACATGGAAATTACACATGGGTGCTTCCATGCAAATAGGGCAACTCTATTTACTTCCATAGAGTCCTCTGTTCTCTACCTATAACACCACCTTTCGAACGCTTGTAACCTTTTCCATGTTTCGCACCCGTACAGCGTCGCGCTGCAAGCATAGGTACACCTTTAATTTTCGAATTTCTAAATTAACCGTTCGTGAGTATAGATGTGACTTCTTTTTATTGTAGGTACATCATCAATTTTTAATATAGGGTTGTTCGGAAAGTCATTTCGTTTTTTTTTTTTTGGGAAATGAAAGACAGTTTTCGTATAATAAACAAATACTTTATTAAATTATATATTGACCGTTCTGGTCCAACACCTTTTGCCATCTTTCTGGTAGTAGCATAATTCCACGCTCATAAAATTTTTGGTCTTTGCTGGCAAAAAACTGATCGAGGAGGTTTTTGACCTC